AGGACCTTCCACCAAACCATTTCAGAAAACAGATAACAAAAAATAGTCTGCCAGGAGGGGAAGTTGTTTTGGAGCTTTTTGGTGGTTGTTAGATTTAAAGAGCAGAAAATGTTTACATAATACTGCAAGGAGGAATGTTTAACAACAAAAATAAAACACTTAGGTGGATGACACATTTTCTGTATGCTGAAGATTGTAGTAGTATAACGCACAAGTGTGTTATGTTGTTCAATCTCCTACTCAAAGCAGAACTCAAGTTCTGAAGAACTCCAAGGATACAAATTCTACAGCATTAGTAAATTATTTCAGTGCTTAAACACCCTCATTGTGACTTTTTTTTTTCACCCTTATATGCAGTTGGAATTTCCTTCCCTGCAAATAAATGAGAGCTTAGATTCTGCTTCAGCTTTGTTCAGAGGAATTTGCCTGTAATACATAGCACTAGTCACAGGAATAGCACTAATTCATATAACTGGTTTTTGTCTGTTTGACTCTTTGTTTCCAAACTCAATTAATTGTTAGGCATCTCCTTTCACAGGATGATGAGTTGTGAATGGTAGCAGTTTCTTTGTTGCTAAATTTACTGATTACATCAGTTCTGAATGGTTCGTGTGTAGCAATGATTTTATTGGCTTTCTGCATTACAGAACAGTAATTCAAAATGTTCCTGGCGGTGTGAGGCCTTCGGACTGCTTGCTGTTAACCAAGAGATTCTTGCTCGTTTTCTGTCTCCAGGGATGGGGAAGACTAGAGTGATTTTGAAAACTTCTAATTGTCCCTGCATTCTCTTCCTCACTGAAGAGAAAATATTTTATAGTTTATATGTCAGTGTATATTCCTTTATTTTAACTAATCAAGTTTTCTAGTTAAAGTATCAGATTAATTGGTAGTTGTAAATTTAGGAAAGAGCAGAGGAAACTTGCACCAAAATATCTTTTCTTTGTGACTTCATTTCTCAGAAGAAAAAACATCAATTACTAACTCATTGTTTTGTTTCCTGGGTGGGTGGAACATACTAAAAAATAATTTGTGTGCTTTTCAAAGAAGAGATTACACACCCTATTTTAAAACAGTGCCAGTTTGTACATACTGAGCAACTTGGTCAATAAGAATAGTAATATCTATATTTTTCCTGACTTTTCTTTGAAGTAAATCAATAGTATGAGTTGATAGGGGATGAGGAGGTTTCTTTGGCACATCTGCATATATACTAATATGAAATCAAAATGACAGAATTTCATAAAAACAGAAATTGTTTGCATTGGAAAGAGATTAGTTGTTGGTAGTGGAAGATTGTCTTGTACATGAGACAAGGGAAAATTCCAGAGTTTTTGCAGTAGTCATAAAATTGTGTTTTACTGCTTGTTCTGAGAGCTTAACTTTTTTTTTTTTTTAAACTGTTTGATTTTAGGAGAGGAAAATATGCAGATATCAGAGGGAATCCAAATACCATAAGAGAGTTATTTACCATTGTGTGGCTTTATCATAACAGCCTGTTCCATTGCATGTTTTAAGAAGTGATGGTACTGTCATTTTTTTCAGGTGATTGCAAACAGCTGTGCAAATCCAGTTTGAGTGACACTTTGTAACCTCTGCAGGGTCGGGCTTAGTAGTTAGAAGAAACCAGCATATGAAGTACAGGCGCATTAAAAGTAAAATTAGGGATAATTTATTGTATTTTACGAAACTTTTTGTCACCTTTGATCTAACACCATTGATCAAGGAGCAATCTTAAGTACAGTTTTTTTCAGTTCAGTTTGATCTGAATTCTAGTTTGGTTGTAAACACGAACAGTTATATAGCAGCTTCATAGCAGGAAGGTAATTTTTCATCTGGAGTTTTCACCATGAGTAATTGTGATAACAATACCGTATCTTAATAAATGAAGCACTGCTGGAATTTTATCTTGCAGAAATTACTTCAGTTCCTTTCCTAATAATGGGTCAAATGTTTTCTTTCACCAAAGTTAAGGTTCCTTGTTTTTAATTGCTGGAACAATTATTTTTGCAATACGTGTTTTATCTACTGTTTTTATGTAAATGGTGGTTTATTCTGTTATAATTGCCACTTTCCTTCATCATTAAAGCAGATATGACTGATAGTGTGGTTTTTCTCCTCTCAGTTGTGAAGAGCCATCTTCATTATGTTATTGTGAACAGGACATCCAGGTGCTTACAAAGAGCTTTTGAATGGAATTTAACTCAAGTTGATACTTTGCAAAAGATGAGGGGAAAGTTCAGATTTTTGTCACAATAACCTTAGAAAGCCTACTATTGGAATGTTTTTTAAAAAGCTGAGTTATTTTTATAGATGCAGACATGAATCAGCCTGGAAATCATAACAGCACTTGGTTTGGATGTTAACATGGACACTAGTAACAGTTCAGAGTCTTTATTTGATTGCTCGTAGTTCTAAACTCACTTTGATGAGCACTAAAACAAGTGAAGCATTATTTTAAAATTAACTAACTTGAGTTAAGCATTGTGTAATGAACTGAGTCATCATGTTTGTATGCCTCCACACTGAGTGATACATGTCATTCTTAGTAATAGTTGAACACAGTAAATGCCTTCACAAGAAGTTTGGAGGACATCTGCTCTGGACATGATGAGATGGTAGCAGCAGTAGATACTAACAAGTATGCTTTTGTTGTGGGCTAAATGATGCAAATAAACCTGTGTTTTTTGCAAAAGACACCGTTGTTGAGAGTTATAAATGAAGCCAATTGATTTTTTTTTTCTTTTTTTCTTGTCTAGCCATCTAGAGAGCAGCTGTTTGTCCCAGCATGAATCTGAACTTTTTTGTACTAGCACAGTTGGGCTTCAATTACAGCAGAATTATAAGCTCAAAATATAGACATCAACGATTGAGCTGTTTGCTTTGTTAAACTTCTATCTGATATTGGCTAAGACTTGCAAACTAGGAGAACTTTGTAATTACAAGATGTTTTACGTAGTTTAGATTCCTGCAGTGATCTTGTTCCATGGGAATCTTTGTTTGAAAGGAAGAAATAAACTGTAAGAATTATTTTCAGTAATTCAGTAACTTATTTTACAGTAGTCCTAAAATTGTATGTACTTAGTTCTTTATACACATGTATAAAATAATCACTTAACTAGGTAGATAAAGGCTATTTATTCTTTTGTCTATTTTTTTTGTACCAACTTCTTGATAGAAAAATGCAGATAACTGTCAGGATCAGAGAACCAGTATAAATGTTCAGTGTATTAGTGAGCGTGCAAACTACTGTAAATGTAGGATTGCTGACATAATTGTAGTTGTTTAAAGAATAATGAATAGAGACAAGGTAAGTGAAGTTTTTATAATCTCACTATTCCATATTTCCTCCGTCTTTGTAATTATGTCATGTTTTAAGTCCGGAGGAACTTTAATTATGCAAGCTAGTATATGAGCTGTTTGTCAGTGCCTTTTTAAAATTAAAATCTTTATTTGATTAGTGAAAAAAAAGCTTTAAAAAAAATCTGGTATTTTTGATCTCTCGGGTATTGTTTCATAGCACCCATAGTTCTGGTTTTAACAGTCAGATCTTAGTTTTAATCTTAAATCTAATGTCTGATTGAAAATACAAATGTAGTTAAGCAAAATTCTGAGATGCTGTTCTGGACAGATAATGCAATGTAACATTTTTAGTTCTGCTTCCTGTGGAAGTAATGATTACTGATTAGTTCGCATCAGGAAATAAGTTGTAATTTTCCTGTGAATGATTAGATTCTTATATTCTAATTCATAGTATTTAGGCAAATATTGAGTTGGACCTGAACTGAGACAATTCATATTCTGAAATGGAGATGTATTCTTGGCTGTCCATAATGCCTACATAGCTAGGTGATGAAATGTTAATAAAATTCTCTTTGAGATTTCTGTCATATCATGTGTGATTTGCTTTTATGACTTGTCACTCCTTTTTCAGAGGGGTTAGTACTCATTAAATTTCATAGTGAAAGCTTATTTTTAATTACATATATTCACAGTTCATATTTTAAGTGAAATGTGAATTTACTTCATTTCAGAAAGGTTGTATTTTTTCATGTCCTGACTTGCATGTTTGTTATTAAAACACTGTCTAAAAGAAAATGAAGGCAGAGGTCATAATTCATAATTCATTGCTTACTATAAACAGTTAAAAATTTTTAACTGAAGCTTATTCTGTCATCTTCTCTAAAAACAGTGGGTTTTCAGGGTTAGAAGGACATGATTATGCAGTATTGACAACTGTATGTAAGATCAAAATGCCTGTCTTTATACAGTATGAACTTCTATTTTAGTAGCTGGAAAAAAAATCTGTTGTTAATTTATTAAGATTCAGCAAACTATAGAATCAATTGCATGCTATTAAACAAAAAAAAACCAAAAAAAAAACACCAAAAAAGTTTAAAAACATGTGACAATATACAAGATCAATAGGTGATGAACTTTGCTTTAAGAACATTAAATCTGAGTATCTTGCATAACTGACAGAAATGATTGACAGCTAAGTGGAAGCATCAAAGTTAGCCCAGCCTATATATATTACTTCAGCTAAGGCCTGTTAATGTGCTCTGTCTCTTTCTGCAATCACAATTAACTACAATAAACTACTAATAGTTAACTCACCTTAGGGGAGGGAGAAATAAAGTTTTCCTATTACTAGTCCATAATGCCCACTGTAATATGTCTGATTGCATTTTTTTAAATATTTTTTTTTTCAAATAAGGCTTTGTTTCCAGCAACAGTATGTCTCAAATGATCTTTTTCCTGCTTTTACATTTTTAATATAATGAATGAAAATTTTCATGTATCTTGAGTGAACAGTCAGTTGTTGAATAAATCAGAGACAGGTCTGGAACTGTGATTCTATATAGGATCTTATCTGTAGTTGCCATCAACACAATAGTGTATTGTCTCAAAGAAAAACAGTTCAACAGAAAACACACAATAAGTAAACTAGTAATTTAGATTATTTTTTTTCTGACATTAACAGCTTCTATTTATTATTACAGCTTTATGCAGGAGCTGTCTTAGAGGTATGTGGATGAAAATTGGGAAGGTTCCCTCAAGTCCAGGGTAAGTAAAGCCACTACAGCTCTTTCAAATATGAAATACTGTCACAGCTGAATGACAAAATGTGCTTTTAAGTACTCCTATAAGTAGTCATAAATTTTGTACATTATATCAGGAAAGTTGCATTGACCTGAGACTCATGTAACTGGTCTCTAATAATTGATAGATGAAATTATACTGTGCACTTATGGAACTGCTTTCTTTTCAGAGATCCTGCAGTATAATTGTTTTGTCAGTGGATAATGACAAGTCGACTAAAATGAACGGAGTAACAGTTGTGTAAAAGGAAAATCAGTACTGTGTGGTGGGAGAAAGCTGAAGGAAAAATATCTGTGAGAAATTTCAAACTGAAATTTACTTATAATTAGGGGAAGACCTTAGGTGATAGCAGTGCTTGGAATTCTTTTTCTATTATTTTCTGTAATGAAAATTCTAATACTGTAATTTGGACATAGAGAAGAAGACTAATTCATCTTTAGACATAAAATTGCACAACCAGCACATATCCATCTACCATGGCCGGTATTAGTACCTCCCTGTTTGAAGGCTGATTGACAAATTTTAAAAAAGATTTTAACACAGGTTACAATTAACATAAATTATGCTGCTTTAAACCCTCTCCTGCCACCTCTACCTACACAGTGTTCAGTTAATTGACTGCAACACCAGAACAAAGCTATTCTCTCTCCTCCACTGTTTAAAATGCCAAAAAGAGTTAAGTGACTTGTTCTACTTCAGGGCATGAGGAGGTTAACTTGTTAGCACAGGAGTCCATAATATCTCCATCACCCTTCAAATTTAGCAAAATTAAAAACATTCCCAACTGTTGTTGTCCATTCACTCAGCTGCTTTATGATTGTGAATTTTTAACAGTAAAGTGCTCATTTGAGCTATAGGTTTCAAGGAAATGGTCAACCTGTTAGCCTGACTCCAGCCTGCATTTTGTCCTCCATTATCTTCATATGTTTGGGTCCTAAAAGGGAATGGTTCTCAATTTCTGCTGTGTGCACACTATGAAACAATACTCCAAAACCTTATAGTACCAAAGGAAAAACTTGAACATTCTAGAGATTTTTTTTTTCCCTTTCAATCCTTGGTTATCTAAACCTGCTCAAAGATTTACATCCCCTTAATCATATAGCTTGCTTTTTAAAATGAATGAATAAATTTCAGTGTTTTTTTCAGTAGGTTCTCTGTTTTGACTACCAGTTCTTTGGTACAGTAAGAATTAAAAAAAGAGGACTGACTAGTCCACTTAAAGATCTGTTTTGCCTTTTCATCACTCATTTCTGCAGTTGCCCAATCTAAATTTATCTTGACCAAATTTACTGCTTGGGTGTGAGAACAGGTTGAAAGATGGGATAAATTTTAAGAGCATATTTAGAAATTTTAAGAAGCAGTAGAATATATTCTTCCAACTGGTGTTTTTCCTCACATTAGTGTTAATGTCAGACTGCTACTACTTAAATTTTTCCCCTTGATTTTTAACTTCTACCAGAAACAGTATTTAATGTCTCCATCTTAATACATTAAAATTCAAGAAGTGTTTTTATTTCAACTTTTCACTTGGATGCTTGCTATGGAAGTTAGGTTGCCTGAAGGTCATGCTGCTGCTTTTGGAGCATTGTCTTTGTAGGCTTCATTGAACTGTGTCATTGACAATGTCTCACTGCAAATAACTCTTCCTTTCCCATAGCTTCTGCTAGGATTTTGTTGTGGGTTTGCTTTCTTTTCTTTGTTTGTTTTTTTTTTTTCAGAATATACACAAAATGGCACCACTAACTGCATGACAGTGTATGTATTAGAATACATGGATTAGTATATGTTACTTCTGTTTCTGATGGTGACGTCTTCACCTTTAAGTACCTGTGTAAATTGTTTTGTCACTTGGCTTACTTCCACAGACTTGATTTGTCATGGATTACTTCTGGATTATATTTTATTTGGCCAAATGATGAACAGTGGTTTTTTTATAATGAGATAGTTAAGGATTAAAATCTGCTGAATTAATAAAGGTTTGTAAAAATTATACATTGTTAGTTACACAGTTGGAAAAACCTGTGCGTGCTTGTGGTTTCTAAATGCAATATTCTCTGGTCCTTCTGTATCAAAATTTCTATCAAAATTACTGGTTATATATTTTTTAGCTACAAATAGTTGCTGAATATAGCTGTATGCCTGAAATGTGAGAATCATTAGATATGGAAATATATCTGTTGATACTGGGAAAGCAAAGAAATGACAAGTGATGAAAAAAATCTAGTCCTCAGCAAGATGATATCAATCTTAAACTGAATGTTACTCTTTGTAATATCATAACAAACTACTAAATGTTTTTGTGAATATGGCCAAGGATGTCTTATTATTTTTTTTCAAATACAGCTTCATGTGATGTCAGTTAACAGACCACATTTCTGTAAGTCTCTTTAAGTTCAGTACTAAAACATTTTTCTTAAGTTGCCCTTAAAAATAAATTGCTCCATTACAAATGTTTTACTATAAAATTCCTATATTACATGTATTTTGAAATTGTTCTGTATAAAACTGTTCTTAAATATTTATCATTCAAAAGCACTCCATCAAAGTAGAACATTGAAAACATAAGTGACAGGATTCATAGATGAAGCAATATCTTATTATACCAGGTAACACAGAAAATGTGACAGGTTTTGGCTGACATCCATAAAGCTAATGCTCTGAAATAGAATAATAAATTAGCTGGGTCAGTGATTAATCTAGCATATTTGTTTTAAGTTGACTTTTCAGTGGCAGCTGTGTTCTGTTCACGATGAGATAGGAGATCACAGTGTCTAGACTTCTATGTTCTTTCCAGTTTGTTTAACAAGAACTGAATTAGGCTGGGTTTCTTCATGGAACATTTCTTTCATATTTCTTTGCATTCTTTTTGTTCATCAGTAGAATAACTCTTACCTCCCCCTGTGTGACTCTCTTCATTAAGAAATGGACATGATCCCAGCAAATCTGTTACAGAGAAAATGTCCTTAATCCTTGAACTCATGCAGTATGCAACTACATTATGTCCCCTGACTTCAGAGTCCGTAAGCACTCTGTTACATTGTCCAAGTTCTGCAAGTGTGAGGGAGATTCATTGAGCTACTAAAATGTAATTTGCTGAGAGATTATATTTTTAGGTGAGATCACTTATTTCCTGGTTATTTTAATCTGTAATTCTTAAATACTGGAGAAAGTCATTAACCTTAAATCTCACATTGGTAGAAATGTAGTAAAACATTTAAACATAGAAAGAAATTTTTGTAAACAGATGATACACAAACTAAAACAATACTTCTCAGAAATGTCTCTTGCCCTACTGCTTCTGCAAAGTACCCTGTCTCTTTTTTTTCGTGAAGTTTCTTCAGGCTTGCTTGGAGGTCCGTCTTGGATTTGCTTTTGACAGCATGTGGTGCTTTGTATAAAATAATGAACAGCTGCATTGTAACTTGATTAATAGACTACAAATAGTAGTTATTGATGTGCCATATGAATTTTTAAATTTAAATTCTTATCTCAGACTGAGCTTCCCAAAAGGTAAAGAGCTATAGCCATTAAAATGTAAATGAGTGCTTGATGTCTGTTGTAGTTGGTCTCTTTGCTAGGGTCTCCTGGTGTTTTTTGAAGCAGGTTCATGTAGTCTTCGAAACTGCAGAGCATGTATTTGTCCCCAAAACAAATTATTAAAGAGTCTGAGGAAAGAAATAAATGCTTTTGGTTTGCCTGTGTGCCCGGTGATTTACACATTCACATTTTTAGCAAATATTGCCAGTTGTCTTAGCAATGCTTATATACTTAAATGACATAATTAAATTCTGGGTTTTCCTGTCTTTATAAAACACCACTCTGCTTCTCTTCCTTTTGTTTTGGTTGCTTTTCTTTTCCATAGGTTTAAAACATGACAGCAATGCCTCAGTAAAAACAATTTTTTAAATTCAAGTTCATTTCAGGTACAAAATGGTCAAGTCTGTTGCCCAGTTCTTTTTGCTTTTTTTTTTTTCTGTGACAGTCTGCACAGTCTTATCTTTCTAATATTTTTTTTTTTCTTTCAAACTGCTTGTGTCTAAATTCAGGGCCAAGTTGTTAAGCAAACTACCTTTTATTTCATTAGTTTATGCTAAGTAATATTACATTTGCTATCTGTTTATTGAAATTAACTCAGAACAACTATTTATAGATAATCTTCAGATGTACTTTAATCATACTTTGGTGTATTAGTATTAGATCACTTCAGTTATTTCCTATAACACATTTTGTATATTTTTAGTCAGTTACATATGCTGCATTGAGTTGCATGAAGCACCATGCTACTGTTTGATAAAATGTAAATCTTCTGAAAGATAGTAATAATTCATGTGCTTTCTATTGCTAATTCAGTGTGTGAAACATTCTTCCTTATTCATGAATGATGATGGAAGCATTCCTTTCTGATGTTGCTCTTAGAGCACTAACAATTCTTTGCCCTGATCTTTTGGTGTAATACTGAGGGTCGGGAGGGATAATCACCTTCAGAAAAGTATGCTGCTGCTTTTCAATGTACAATCAGCATTTTTAATGAGGCTTGTCTGTAATTTGAAGCTGTGTATCTGTACACAGCGTGAAGAGTTTAGAAGAAGCTAAAGCGTTCTGTTTACTAGAAAAATATCATAAACTGAGAAGTCTGTCCAGTTTAAAAAGTTGGATGCATCCCCACGGGCATACATGGTCCTCATAAGTGTTACAACAGTAAGCAGTGGAATAAATCTAAACTAAAAGCACAGCTTTTTTAAATAACAAAAGGATTAGAAGTTTGAACAAGTGGACTTTGCCATTACTGGCAGATACTTGATCACATTAGATAACTTGCTGGAAGACATGCTTTAGCTTACCAGGAGGAAAAATTGTGCAGTAAAAATTTATTGCTGACCTTGTGGTAAAGATTTGACTAGTTCTGACGTGCTTTTCTGCCATTAAAATCTGAAACTGTTGTAATAGAGACAGTAAGGTTTTTAATCTCCTACAGAGTTCTCTGATTTGAGGCCATTGTAAACCTTCCTATGCATATAGAGACAGACAAGGCTAAACATGCTTGTCTGTGTGACAGTTGTTTGAAAACAAGTGTGAGATTTTACTGCCATTGTATATTGGCTGTTATTCAAGTATTAAGAAATTAGTTTAATTTTTTCTCAACATAATTTTGTATTATTTCATTTACAGAAGAGGCAGGAGATCTTTGCTTCTAAAGCAGGAATCTAAATAATGGAATATTCTGAATGTAGATATTCTTGGTAGTCTGGATCATGCCCTTAATATATTAACAGTAGGTGGTCAACTCTGTTTACAAAGTTATGCCTAGCATATAGATCTGCAACTCTGCATGGAGAGATGTGGTGTTGTATGTCTGTTTTGGGTCACGAAGTTTTCTTATGGTATATCCTACTGTACCTCAGAGAGAATAGTGCAGGTGTGTGCATGCATATACATAGACTTGCCATTTGGGCCTCTTAAGAGTCCTTGGTAGTCTCCATTTAGGACTCTAGGCTTTAATTCCAACATAAGTACATTTCACAGACTTTCTCAAAACAGGGAGGTGTTATATCAAAACAAAATGATGTTATAACGATAGTAATTTGTAGGCAGAGCCTACTCTTAGGTCTTTAAAACACTGTTCAATATTACCTCTTTTTGCAGAAGAGTTTGGTGCTGGGCAGGCTTTAAAATGACCGTATGCACCTGATCCTTTTCTCTGACCTTTTAGTTGTAGTTGATTGCCTGGCAATCAAATCTGCTCTGTAGGCTCACCTCAGGATTGCCTTCAGACAGAAGGCATATGCTTTGGTATTGCACATGTTTTATAAGACCGTAAGGTGAAGTGATTCTCTGAACATTATGTGAAAGGACAGTTGTAAAGCTGAGAGTAGAACAGCTCTGACTTCTAGTCTGGTGCTTAATTCACTGGAATATAGTGTCATGGCACCAAACTCGGAGTTCATCTTGTGGAAGTCAAAGTGGAAAATGCCTTCCCTGCTCATCCATGGAGGGATTATATAAATTCTTGTTTCTCTGCAGTGGGCAATTTATAGAGCTGCTATAGGGAGAAGAAAAAGGGTGAGGTAGCTAGAATGTCAGACATCAAAATATTAAATAATGGTGTAAAGATGTGCAGCCTTCAGACATAGGATTTAGAGGGGAAGCTGTTGGGGCAGTGCTGAAGGTGGAGCATGTGTGCTGCATCACATTGATAAGCAAGGAACCACATGTCCCAAGAGGTGCATTGTAGCTGCATCTGACTTCCTAACCCTGTCAATTCCATTCAAAGGCTGTTTATTCAACTTAGGGTATGATTTTGTGGAAAGAAAAAAAAAAAAAAAAAAGTGATGGGATAATCTGTAGTTTTAATGCATGTCAGTATATTAGTTTCTCACTTTAGCTTCCAAAATTGAGCATATACAAATTAAGTCATTTGTACAGTGAGTTTTTTCTTTGCTGCATTGCAAATGTGACTAATGCAGAAAGTCACTATGATCAGCATTAGAAATAAATACGCCGTTAACAGAAACCAATTTTGTTCTAGCTGTCTAAAATATCAGGAAAAATGCTCTGTAATGCGTCAGCTTTCAGAAGATTTAGACATTTGACATTGATACAAGTGTGTAATAGCTACTTTTAAAGTGACAACATATAATACTGCCTATAGAATACTTTCGTCTTCTACCTAATTCTGTTCCCAGTTTATGTGATCCAACACTGCAGCCAGTGAACAGCCACTCATGTCCAAATGAGCTTTCACCTGTCACTCAAGTGACAAATCATCACACCTGTTACAAGCTTAAAGTGCTGTAACCTGAGTTAACCCCTAAAGGCTATTCTTTAATACAGCTGAGCTCCACAGTTCAGATTTGATTCTGAAACTTTATCCATTTTACTGTGCCCTCTTGCTATTTTGCTTTAAGTTTTGCCATTAAGTTACCCACTGTACTGACTGCTTTTTACAACCTGCTTTTCATAAAAAGCCCTAGAGACTGATTTCAATTTAGATTTAAATTGAAAAAAATGTGGAAAAAGTGAAATAGTGCAATGTGTTGTGGACTTAACAAAGAATAAAATATCTCTGTGCTGCTTTTTTGCATGTTACTGTTCGTGGCAGCCAAGACAACTAACAGGTCACAAGGACATGGGAAACTCTGAAGTTAAGAATTACATCTTTGTGAGTTTAAATCAGAATTGAACTGCAGTATGTGAGCAAGTATTGGTCATTTAGTGCTACTTGAAATTGTTATACAAGTACAGCTTACAGTATGACATTAGTGAATAGTTCTGTAGAAAGAACAAAACCAAGCCTTAACTACTTCTTGGGTGTCTAGTATATCTGGCAGCTCATTGGACCACTGGTATTTTTTTTAACTTGTTTATACTGTATAATGGTTAGTGCAGCAGGGAGAGTATATGATTTTGATATGTACAGGGAGCACAGTGGAAGAGGGAAGAAAATAAATGACAGTATGTATATAGATACTGAGAAAGTGTTAAGGTAACTGTGTACAGTAATATAAAGATAGGTAAAAAGATGCCAGGGGACATCTCTACAATTACTGAGGAAAGCACTAGTTTGTGAGGCAGTACGAAACATTAGTCCTGAGGTTGCACTCATCTCCATGCACCAGCTGGATGCACTGCAATTTGTGAGAGATTCATTGTTGTCTGCCCTTGAAAAAGCAGCTTTAACATGCAGCTAGCACCTTTGTAAGAGTCAAACCATACTGACAGGGTTCATCCTTGGGGAGAGACTACTGACATACTACAGGAGTGTCCAGAATCCACTTAATGTCAGTACAGATACTAAATTCAGCCTTTAGTGTGAATGTAAAAAGGAGGAATAAAGACTGTGCTATTTTCTAAATAAATTTTAAATACTTCTAGAACTCAGACATTCATTAGGTTAAAGTGTTTGGAAGGGAGGGGATTATGCTCATACTTTGTCCTGAAATAATTTATATTGTCTTTTTAAAGTTAATGTTAACACATGGCCTCCTGGGTTGTGCTGTAGGGAAACAGGGACTGTGCTGCTGCGAATGCTTGCTGTTTGCTGATTAGTACTCCAAGCAAAGAAGTGTTCATCTGTAGCCCACCTCAGACTTGACCTTCTGTCCCTGTAGCTACATGAGAGGCCTTTGAGTCTATCTTAAAGCTGATTGCCTTTCAGAGTGTCAAGAGAAGAGGAGATACCAGCTTCTCTTCTTGTTTTCTTGCTGGTTTTCAACATGTAGTCTTGGAGATCACTGCAAAACAAGATTGTCTGTCTTGTTTGCAAGAATAACACCTCTACCCACAGTTTCCTCTGTGCCCTTTCACCCGCACTGCTGCAGCCTGTGTGGAGCATGCTGATGGGATGTGTGTCATATTTAGCCTCCCTCACAAAGATCATCTTCAGCCAGATTTCAATCGCTCTAATGCTTTTTCTCACATTTGCATGTCACAGCAGCATATGGGCCAGTCTGCTGAAGACTGTCAGTTGTACATGCAGATAAACTGATTTAGACAGTTGCACTAATGTTCAAGGAAATTCCAAGCAGATACGAAGTTTGTGTGGAATACTAGCAAAAATAGGGTGTTCCTTAGACATAATACATTTAGTATTATTAATTTGGTGAGGATATTAAGAATGTTAATACTAAAATATCTTCTGAAGCATCATTACAAAAGAAGTAATTCAGGGAATACTAGCTTGAATGTAAATCTACTTTATGCAAGTGGAAAAGAGTTTGATTATCTTTCTTTCTTCTCTCCAAACCATAGCTTTTGTCAGGAGTGATAAGCCAAAACTCTTCAGGGGACTGCAAATCAAGGTAACCTAACTTTTTTTATTTGGGATGTTAGGAAGAATTAAGCTTGGTGGAAACAGTACTCCTGTGGATTGTTCTTTATTTGCTGATTAAGTAATCCTCTAGCAGAAGACATATATTTATATTGCCAGTATAAATCTTTATGAGTTCCTGCTGCTCATATTAATTAGTTTATTGCTCAGTAACTGTTTGGTACCAATTCTTTGTTGTTGTTGGGGTTTGGGGGGTTTTTTATTGTTCATTTTAATCTAGGAAAAAATATACGGGAAGCCATAAGTAATAGCAGATGGCAAAACAATGTGAAGAATGCTTGCATTCTGTCCTTACTCTGTGGATATCTTGGATTTACTCAAGCTTATTCTGCCATAGTTTCGCTTTGTATGGTTCTGTTCTCCCCTCATTTTCTGAAGAAGCTGCTGTTTCCATACAATCAGTGATTCCTAGATTATTTTTCCTCCTCACTCTCAGAATTTCCTTCCTGTGTTCTGTAATTCTGTTTTTCTTTATAGTCTTCAAACATTCAGCTTTATAGAAATGCATTTACTGAATGGTGTTTCTTATGGCTTGCATATATGCAAAGCTGCACTGCCTTAAACTCTAGCAATTCTTTGCTTTCAAGATCTAGTGTAAGACTTCACCTTCCCCTTAAAATCCTGGGTGAACTTCCAGCGTACTTCAGATATACATCTTGATTCTTACATCTTGTGCTCCCATCTCTATTCACCAAATGGCACCATCTGGAATCACTTCATAGCTATGCATGGCTGCAATAAGTGATTTGTCTTCTCAGCAGCAGATTCCATCTAAAACAGATTTCCTCTGTCTGTCTCATGCATTCATGTCTCTGTGTCCTCCAGTTTCTTTCAAAAGCTTTCTCTCTTTCTGCATGACTGACTGTTTCATTTTTATTTTAAACTTTGTAGCTGTATTGAACATCAAAGCAGTCTGGACTACAATTGGTATAGCACACTACCAGAAAAAAAATTAGTGCAAATGGATCTGTATTTTACAAGACTGTTGGAAAACGGATTAGAGATGCCACTAACTTCATTAAGTAAAATCAACTAGGTTAGCTCAATAGGGTAAAATAAAATACTTCTGGAGAAATCTTTCTATAAACTTAAATGGTTAGAGCCTTCTAATACTGTTAAAAGCTTTTATTTGCATTACATATTTTGTGACTTGGTGAGTCTTCAGAAGCATTAAAGTATTATGTTACCAGCAAAGCTGAGCAGGCACAGATACAACACAGCAAGAAAGAATGTGATTAAATTAGAAATTGGTAGTAGAACTTCAAGCTTTTAAAGTAACCAGAAATTTCTAAAATGGTAAAAAGGCTATTGATTATATATTAAAAAAAAACAATCATTCAGCTGCTTGATTCAAAAACCCAACTTCAGCAACTTAAAACAATTGAAGTAGAATACAGTCTTTCAAACCTAGGCTTATGGCATTGCCCCCCTGCATATGCATTAGCTTGTGTAGTGGGCCAAGGAGAACAAGTAGATGATGTTTCTCACATACACACCTCCTAGACACCTCCACGCTACCCCTTCACTTGACTTGTTTCTCCACTTTCCTTTCTTTGACATTAAATGCAAGTCGGAAGCCTGTACTGAAGCTGTTTCCTACCTGGTTTATTTAAGGCAGGTAACTCTGTTCTGGTCCTCATAAGCATTTACTCCTCTTAAATTAATGTGTTTTCATTTCCTGTGAAATGAGGCCTCTTTGTCCCTTATTCTTTCATCTTTTCTCCCACCCTTATTTGTTAGAACTACTCAAGAAAGCATCTAATCCACAGCTGCAAACACTGGCCAACTCCTGCTGGTGGAGTGTGCAACCTACAGCATCTCTCTGTCTTTAAAGCTTCAGTATGGTGTCTCCCCTCTTACCGGTTCTTCCTTTGCATATGCACACACACACAAACTCTAGCTTTGAACATTTTCTTCTCCTTTGAATCTGAACAGTAGGTGAAAACATATTGGAGGAGAGGAGGTAGCAGCATAGGAAAAAAAAAAAGCTGAAAGACTGATCTTATAAGCTTAATTTGATTTTTATAGATTTGTTTTCTTCAGGAAAAGTAGAATACATTGTTGTTAAACACTCTAGTAGTGAAATTCATAAAACCAGATCAAAATACGTGGCACTGGAATATTTATAGCATTGAGCATTGTCAAGAACAATGTCTGTTTGTTTTTTTAAGAATTCTAAGCTTTAAAAAGCCAAAGCTTAGGTTGATTTCTTAGCATAAATTTTACTGCCAAAATTTGCCCAGAATACTCTGATGTAATTTAGTGCTCTTTTCTTAAGTATACATGGTGTCACTCTGGTCTTTTTACTATTTGTGCTTTGACATCTTTTTAACTGATGTAAATCAATTGGAGGCTGGGGGATGAGTGTTAATATGGAGAATGCATTTCCAGCCCAAGGTAGCTGACGTGGTTGTTTTTTTTTTTCCCCTGCAGTATGTGCGTGGTTCTGATCCTGTACTAAAGCTGCTGGATGACAGCGGGAACATTGCAGAAGAACTGAGCATCCTCAAGTGGAATACAGATAGCGTGGAAGAATTTCTAAGTGAAAAATTAGAACGTCTATAAATCATTGCTTGCAATCCTCTTTCCTTTTCATGTTTTGTCGTGGTAGTCTTCTGTGTGCTACAACTGAAAAAACATTCCGGCTTCTATATTAATTTTAAAATATCTGTTATGCTGTACTAAACATCTTGTAATTAGAAGGGGAAGCTTCAACACACATATCTGACAAGCTGACAAACAGAATAGCTTGCCTTCTTAATATATTTCAGATCTTAATGCATTTATCACTAACAAAATTTTTTAAAAGTTAATTATGCAAATATCCGTTTGTTATAATTGGACCTGTTTTTACAAATGCTCTTAAAACTGAAGAGCTTCAAATAATCCAAATGATTACCATGTTTTTTGTCTGCTGCTGTTTATAAGAAAATCAGAACCAAATGCAATGTACTATCTCCCAAAGAAATTTGACTGCTAATGCCCTCTTCTTTTTTTGTATTGGAAATGTCCTTTTTATAGAAGCATTGTTTATAGTGAGTATCTAGTTCACAGGTTTTGAAGCTGATGGAGGAACTCATGCTGCTCTGGTGCTATGACACATTTAGTAAGTACACTTTAGTGAAGACTACATAGAAAACCTCTGAGGTGTATGGAAGTCAGATGTCAGGTGTGCTTTACGTTAAGTGTTTTGCTTCAGAAAACATGAGATATAAGTCTTGAAAAACCTTTCCTTCAGATTTTAACAAATTTATTGGAAGTCTGTTGATCAAATGAATTTATAAACTGTTCTTTTTAAAATGTTTATTTTTCTTTGTTGAAATTTATGTGAACAGGGAATATAGACAGTATATATGGTAATGAGTCAAATCCATTATAACTTGTCAGGTTTTTTCCACTTAAAGTGAATAAACACGGTAAGCAAGAACGATGTGGGTTTTTTCTGAAGTCTAATTAGCAAGTAAGTCTTCCCTTTAACTACTTCATGCACACCAGTTTTTGATTGGATAGATGTTATGCTATAGCCTGAATTCGTCCTCAGTTTTTCTCTTCATGTATAATTGTAGATCCCAATAAATTTCTCTACAATTTACAGATTTTACTCCCAACTTCTAAGAAGAAATCATCAGCTTCATAGCAGAACAATAAACTTGGGACTGACACCACACTAAATTAGCAGAAATAATACACTAAGGTCATTCTTTAAGCATAGCCTCCAGAGTTTCTACTCCTGAAATATTTTTATAAACTCTTCTTTCTAAGGTGCAATACAGCAAGGTCACGTGATGTTATCCTCAACTGGTCTCAGCCTCACTCTGTGCCTTTCACTCTTGTTCTTGTAAAACATGCTGCTTATCTCCCAGATAACTAAGTGTGGGACAGCTACAATAGTGGTCACCACTGTCTTAAAGAAATATGAACTATATGCAGAAAGCACAAATCTTTGTAGCTGGTGCTAACTTATCAAACATGGATTTGTTCTTGGGACATGTGATGTATTAGTCAGCAGATCAGCTACAAGCAAAACATGTGGCATGACAATGCAGTATTTGGTAGTAAAAATATGCTGCCATCCACTGGTCTTTTAATATACTGACTATATCCCATACTTCTCATTCTTCTGTTTGCCAACAAGGGATTTCAGTTTCTGTGTTGGTGATTTATTATTCTGTTTTAGCAGACTTAACCTCATCTTTCTCTCCAGCCTTAGGTCCTCTTTACCATTCAACAGAGGGATTGTTTGCTTCATTTGATGTTCACCAAATATGTCTCTCTGCTTCTTTCTCAGTATTTATTCCTTCCTTCTTAACATGATGACCAGTGGGTTTCTGAGCTTCAGCCTCCATTTTCTTTATATGTCTTCCTACTGCCAGCCCACTACTTCCCTACACAAACTTCCTCTTCTAACACCAGGTCCTTCACTCCTGCTCTTGCTTGTCTTTCACAGAAGCAGGGAACTCACTCTTGTACCAGGAGATAACCATCCTGTAGTGGAGAAGGATGACAGGTCAAAGAATTTCTCCTCCAGCATAACTGGCTTTTATGAATGCAGTCCCAGTAGTGTTTCTGAAGCCTTTTACCTTTTCCAGGACTGGTTCCCACTTATTTTCATCAAGGAGACTGGACATGATCCTTTCTCCCAGTTTTCCTCCCTAGGTTCTTGATTTGCTGATTCCTATTTTATATATTCATCTTCTCTTGTAATACAGATATTTATTCCCGTAGCTTAAAAGCAGACACAAGGTACATCCCTGTATTTCCCTATATATAGGAACAAGTCAAGAGTCTTCTGTGATTCTGTTACTGAGCTGCTGAGCCCTGAACCTACTCAATCTGTTAGCCTCTAGCAAAAGCTTAATTACCAGTGCTTCTTGACCTGTTGCCTGTTCTCCATGCTGTTCTTGAAGTGTCAAATTCATCCTATCCTTGCTTTATTCTTTCATTCTATCCTTTAGATGATACTCAGGTTCTTGGCTCTACAGATACATGCTAGGAACATTTAACATTCTGGCAGAACTGAGATGGGCTTTGTGCTAAAAGAGGCAGTTGGAGTGGGGAGTAATTTCTTTTGGAAATTCTTAAGTTTCTATTTATCAGTGTGGGGTTTTTTTTTTTTCCTCCAGTCTGCAGCTGTGAAAATTCATAGAGCTCAAAAGGTTATTTTGGCTTGTGGCAATTAGCTACACAAAATATAAGGTTTAAAGCTCCCGTTTAAAAAGGAAGTGATTCATTTTTACTTATAGCCATGGTAAGCACCCAGTACTTCATGAAAGGCATTCACTCAGATTTATGTAAGAATTATTTAGTCTTATATAATGTTCTTGTTGTGCCAAATCTTGAGAGAGTTAATGAAAGGAAGAATAAAAGCAGCAAGCATGCATGACTGAGTTGAAACATGAAGTGTCCATCTACCCCTTCTATCTTTTTAAAAGGAAAAAAAGGCAACTCATCTTGCAGGAGAAAGTATCAGTGCTTTTAGAAAAAAAAATTTAAAAGTTTTGTACATTCCATTTTGTACAGAGATATGATATGTAGATGAATTTGAAGCATAGTGTACAAGCTACTTGGAAGGTTTCCTAGGTGCCTGCTTAGTCATAGATTCCTGCAATGTGAACAAAATTATTGTAGCAGGCAAAAATCTGTTTTGGAGCTAAAGGAAACCTTCCAGCAAATATTAAAATCATGGAAAGAAAGTAAGGATTCAACTCTGTTTTATTGTTTCATCACACAGATAGAACGAGAACAGGTTGCCAACTTAAGGAAGAGCACACACACACCCCCCCCAAAAAAAAAGTACGTGTTCAGAAACCTGGGCTCCTATTAAATATAATTTTTGTTTGAACCTAGACTGTCAGAAGCAAAGGAAATCTTCCGATGTTCCTTTTCAACCAGGGACATTAGGCCCCCTTCCCCTCCCCCCCCC